ATGCTGGCACTATTGCTGTGAAAGGCAGAAAGTGTAAAGAAAAAAACCCCTAACAAAACCAAACCACTTAAAGCCCCAAATGGCAAGCAAAAGAAACCAAAACAGGCCAAACTAACCCAAACCCACAACTAAACTATTCCTGAGTTTGAGTGGAGTGCTGTTCACTGCAGGTGGTTTGGACAACGTTACTTGGGTGTAAGTGGTAATCACATGGCAGTAAAATTTACCTTTTGGTTCCATAGCTTCCCAGTGACTCAGCACAGCTTTGACCAAGTCTTGCAAAGGTTCACACAGAGGCAGCCTTCAAAGATAAGGGGTTTCATTTTGCTTGGGATGAAAGAATGGCACTTCAATTGGGATCAGTCATTGGGTGGTTTTCATGTTTGATTTCTCCATCTGAAAGACAGGGATAACAACTGATACCTTCCTTTCGAAGCCTTTTGAAAAGGAAAAGCGTCATGACACTATTCTTCTCAATTATAAAGTAGCATAATATTAATAATTACTTAAAAAATAGCTTTCTACTGAGGGTTTAAGTCGCACAGCATGGAAGAGATTAAAATCTGGCAACTAGATGTGTACCTCTTTGACACTTCTTAATGCCACAGAAAAGCTTGGAGTAGCCAACAGATGTGAGGAGTTCCAAATGTGAGTGAGGATGATGAAGACCCTGTTAGAGGGGTCGTTCAGGAGGTAGAACTAAAGGCAGAAGAAGCCTGTCAGAGGCAAGCTGAGGGAATAGAGTAGCTAAAAGAACTGAAATAAATGGGAAATCATCCTTCAGGTAGGTTAGTAATGATCAAGCCATTAGAGACTGTGTATCCTGAACACCAGCTGGCACTAAAGAGAACACTTGAAGAGCTGAGAAGCTGAAGGAAGAGGTCATTCCTTAGCCAGAAGCCTCTTCAGGACGGGGCAAAGGCAAGTAAACCAGCAGAGAATCATAGAATGGTTTGGGTTGGAAAGAACCCTAAGATCGTCTAGTTCTAACCCCGTGCCATGGGCAGGGACGCCTCACCCTAGACCATGTCACCCACGGCTTTGCCCAACCTGGCCTTGAACACTGCCCAATTGAGTTTTCACCAGAAAGATCAAACGAATCCGAAGAGGAAATTGTTGAAATACTAAAAATACCATGTAACTCTCTCACTGTCACTTTGACTTCATCTTCTTTGGTATCTGAGGACTGGAGTGTGGCAAATGTGTCACCAACCTTTATAAAAGGTTCCAGGAGCATCCAAGGAACTGTAGGCTTGTAATCTGACAGGCAAGTTAATGGGAACAAAGATAAAGTAAGTATCTAGGTAAATACAGCCTCGTTGAAGAGAGTCAGTGTGGCTTTTGTGAAATGAAATTCAGGCTTACAGACACATCTGGGGTTCTCTTAGAGAGTTGAGATATTTGGATCAGGGAGATTCACTTCTAAAGCCATTTCAGTACATTCCCTCACCAAAGATTATGTTTGAAGAAACCGAATAGCTATGAATAGAGAAAATGCATAAGCATGCATAAAGACTTGATTAAAAGGTAGAAAAGAAGGAGTAGTAAATGAACAGTCTTAGTGGGGGCAGGTCATCCAGTGGAGTTACAAAGGAACCTACACTGGGACCTGCACAGATCAGCATCTTCGTAAATGATCTGGTAAGAGGGTGAAGAGTGTAGTCAGAAAGTTGTGATGGTATAAAATTATTCCAGATGGGAAGGAGAAGGGCAATTTCAGAAGATTTGCATTAGGATTCTCTATGTACAGTTTAGAAATGAAAATGGCAGAAAAATTCGATGCAAGTAAACACAAGGTAATGCATATCAATACTGGTGCTATACATGAAATGCTGGGCTTGAGTTTATTGTTACCGCTTAGGAGGGAGATTTGGGGGTTATGATGGATAGTTTGTGTTGTGTCAAGGTTAATGCTTGGCAGTCATCAAAAATGCAATCCTAATTTCTGGAGTTAGAAGGAAAGGGAGAGCGAGCATCAGGATCCCACTGTATTAATCCATGGCTTGGCAACCTGATCTAGTTGAAGATGTCCCTGCTCACTGCAAGGGGGTTGGACTAGATGAGCTTTAAAGGTCCCTTCCAACACAAACTTTTCTGTGATCCTACAACACCTTGAATACTGTACATAAAATTATGGTCCCTTAATCTTAAACTTCTGGAATAGCCAAATTTTTCCCAGAAAAAAAATGGGTAATTGGAGTGATCAAGGTTGTAAAATGGCTACGAGAAATGAAACAGTGATTGGATAGGCTGTGACTCTTTATCCTGAAAAAGAAACAGCACAGCAAAGTATAAAGTCATGTGGCATAGAGAGGATGGGTAGGTGTTCACTCAGTTCAAGAATGAAGGGCTGTCAAGCAGAGTTATGGGGAAGAGGATCAATAGCAAACTGTGTTCTTCTTATCAATGGTGATAGCCCTATGGAAGTTGCCACTAAAAATTTCTGCAGATGCTGGTCAAATACTTGAGAGAAAGCTCTATGGAAAGCTACTACCTAAAGGAATCATGTCAAGCTTGTGACTCACGAGCTGAAAATAGTCAGGGTGTGTGAAAGCCCCCAGAGGAAGCATACTGGCCCTGTTCTTGTTCTTCCTTGGACAGCTGCTTTTGACCACTGCTGTAGGAAGAGAGCTGGGCTGGGTGGACCTTTGGTCCGCATGGTGGACCCATTTAGTTGGGAATGCAGGCAGCTACGTGACATAGGCTAACCTGCGGAACTCGATGATACCCAAGCTGGCTTTAAATGAGCTACCTCAGATGCCAGTAGCAGCCTGTCCTCTGCCTGCAAGGAGAGGTCACCCTCTCAGTGACATCAATTAGCCTGTACTGAGTTTCTTGCTGTCATCACTGGGGTGTACTAGTGCTAAGTTAGCTTATATGTAAGTATTGCTATGCTACACTACTATTTGCTGCGTGGGCATAATCACTGCCTAAGTGGGCACGATGGTGCACTCATAACTTCAGGGGGGGCCTACAAATAGGAAGTTGCTAAATACACAAAAGAAGAAATAAAGCATTCCAGCTTCTTGTTTCCATTTTCTATTTATTTGTTTCCAAGGTGTAACAATTTCTCTGAGTGTCAGCTCTACTACACTTGGGGTCTAAAAATCATTCGGGTGGTTTGTTTTATGGGGTTTTATTTGGGGCTTTCCTGGTTTGCGCATCATTGTCAGCAATAGTAAAGATACACAACCAGAACTGATGCTGTATCAAGAATAGACTCCAGTGTATTCTCTTTTAACTGTGATGGCTTCGAAGATCTCATAGCATTCAAAATTAGTGAATTGCTATTTTTATCACTGAAGTCAGCAGTTCTGACTCAGATTGTCCCACAACAAAATGGCCTTTAAATAACAGGATTTGAGATAGTGACGATGTTTTTTTTAACTACACATTAAAAAGTAATTGTGTGTTGTAGAAATGAAACTATTGGTGTCATTTTAAAGCAATGAAGAACGTTACTAAGTACTAAAGCAAACGAGTACTTGATCGTACTCTTTAATCATGTGATTCTCAGCGTTTCCAGTTGGGGGCACTGGGCAAACATGGCAATGCCAGCGTGAGTGAGAGTGGTACCTAGCTCATGTTCTGCTGGAAGCGGCGAGGGGGATCCCACCAGAAGAGTGGATGTGAGATACAGTAGTCGTTCTGGATTTAGGAATGATTTTAAGGTGAAGCAGATGTAGTTTTCGAAGCCCTTTTGCTGTTAACCAGAACTACTATACAGTTTTACTTTCATTACCCATAAATCATCCAGTTTCTTTGCAAAACTAAGAATCGGTGCTTTTAAAACCATCTGCTTAATCAATAGCTTCAAATTCTAATGGGCCTGGGTAGAAAAGTTGCTGTAATTGAAATTTGCTACTGTTAGTTTCATTAAATCTTTCCAGCCTAGCACAAATTATTGGCTCTATCTACCTTCAGTAAGTGCTATTTATTCATTTACATCAAGGAAAGAGCTAGAAAAAAGTAGATGATGCTCCTTGTCCATGTACAGCGTAAAGCCCAGTATGCTTGAAAATACATACAGATTTCACATCTGAAATGACCTAAGGAGGAGATACAGCATACTATTTTTTCCAAGGAATATCAATTATGCTGTTAGGAATAGGCTACAAGAGACCAGCAGTGGTTTCATGGTTTCAACTCATGTGATTTAGAGAAAATATTATAAGAGATTAGCTCATAAAGTCAAAGCCCTGACTTTGTTGCTAAGGTTTTCTAAAAGAGGCCAGGCAGATGGTTCGTACATTTACCAGTTTAGAAGTGAATCGGGTATTCAAAAGTGAAGTTTGACAGCAGCTGAAGGACAATGCATGAAAGGGTGAATACATGTATGGGGACTACGCATCTGTAATTGGATGTACCGAGAAGGAAAGTAAGCATTTAACATTGCCAAGCTCGTAGTAGCCTAGATCTTCCTTCCAGCTGATATTTTAAACTGGATTTTGCAATAGTGCAATGGATTTCCCAGTCCCTGGAGCTCCTGGCCTTCTATCTGACCTCTGTATTACAAGTTAGGACTGCTTGCAAAGGATTGAAGCCAGAAGTTTTTGTCCACATCACTGGCTGTGAAAACACAGGGACTTCTGTCTGGGTGTAAATGCTTAGGTTTGGAAAGGCACGATAGAACATTTTGTTCATGTTTCTCCACAAACGCAAAGAGGAAAAAAACAAAGCCCTAATCATGCTATACTTCTCTAGTAAGCAGTCTATAAATATTGAAGCTTCACAGCAGCAAAGCCGTTAAACCTAGCGGGTAATCAGAAGGGTGGAGTAACTATCAGCGGGCTGCCTGTAAGTTTAGGGGAGGCTCAGGAGGTCTGAGTTCTGGTCCTTTAAGCCCTAAGCCACAGGAAAAAAAATTAGCCAGGAATTCATGGTCAACCTTTGTAACAACAAAACTTGGTTTATACCTTCCTTTAAACCCATAAAATGTGTTTGCTTTTTAATATCTTGGTGCTCATGGACCTTAAAACTTTAATTAAATGACACATGAATAAATATATATTAATTCTTTTTTATTAAAGTATCAAAACAAACTTGAGAATAGAAAACAAACTGATTTTAAGGTTTGTCCTGCATAAAGTATACTCTTAGAAAACTCATGCAACATACTGTTCCTGTCTAGCTGTTTAAACACGCTTTTCCAGGGTACAGTCAAAGGAACTTGAGTACCATCATTTCTAGAGCAGCGTGCAGGAGCACACGTGCACACACACATACAAAAGCATTAGAAAGCAGCTCTGACTGCACATACAAAGAAACAAAAATAGATTTTCTTCTGACAATTATAGTGGTACCATATTAACATTTGGGATGCTAAGTAAATAACATCAAGCAACAAAAGCATGACGCCTGCGTCACTAGTGATATGGTTAAAAGCAACCATACAGATTCCCTAAGGGAGACACATGAATTCTGTCATTATACTCTAGTCTCTGTGGTAACACTTTATAACAGTATAGGAGGCAAAGAGTTTTGTCTGCTGGTATTTGCCTGAAAGGCAAAGTCAAGGCGTACAATACTGGGATGGTGCCTTGGTTTTGTATTTCCACATTACAGAAGTCAAATACCAATGAACATTGACAAGTTTATTGTAACAAGCTTCATGTGTATCTGTTGTCTGATAAATAGCTGGCCCAACTCCCTGTGTAACTTGCCCTCTAAGCCAGAGACGTTGCAGCAGAGGCTCCAACCTCTGCTTACAGGATGTGAATAAAACTCTCACTGAAGTCAATGGAAGCTCCTTCCAACATACGGAAATGTAATGGATTTTCAGGACAGAATCAGACCTAGCATGTCATCTTTAATACATTAACTTTTCAGATACATGAAGTACATATGTTTAAAATGCAATATAGGACATTACAATATATCCAGATCTTAGGAAAGTGTACTAAAGTTCTGTTGCAGAATATAACGATCACATAAGGATCAGGTATGATATCCGATAGCCTCATCCAGGACTTGCAGGTTAAAAAGCTTATGGCCAAGGTGTCTTTAAGCTTAGCCTTTAGAACAAAACCACAGTTTTGACACTGCATAACTGGTGTAAAATATTATGTACTGTAAGCTCCATTCTTATTGTCTGCTTTGCTTAAATGGTGCCATTGCACAGCCAGACACCACTGATGGAGGTACAGAACTTTGGAAAGCATAATGTCTGCACCCAGTGGTTCAAGATACTTAGTGCCTCATCTGTGGAAAAGATGAAGGATATGTGTTTTCAATAGCTGTGACTCAACTACAACTGGTGAAGTTTAGGAATATATAATATTAAACACCAAGAGATAAAAGTAAAAAGACAGCACAACACTTGTGGTTTCAGTTTTCTCTTGCTCGCAGTATTTATTAACTCTACCCATTATGATAATGATAAATAAGGATAATATTTTCTTTTACAAAAAATTGTAAGGATATATTTTATAGGATTAAACAATCTCAGAATTTCACAGAAACATCAGAATTCAAACACTCGTAGCTCCAAATGTTTTGTCCAGCAGCTCTTCTACCAGTTCAAAAACATCCAAGGTTAGTATTTGATTGAAAAACAAAACCAGTTATTCACTACATCAAAACTCTTTCCTCCTTTAAGTTTTAAGTAACACTTTTGATTGGCTCTAGTTGCCACTCAAATACAAAATAAAAGTAGCTACAATCAATTTTTCCCTCTCAATCACCTGGCAGAAGGAAGTAATCCTGGCCGGGATGGAAAAAGCTTTCTGAAGCTCTTATGCTTATAAGAACTACCTCGTAAACAGACCCACTGAAGTCCATGGAATCTCTTCTGTGAGTGAGGGTTAATAGCGTGAACTAAGGCTTGCAGGATTTGATCCTAGATTATCTTATTTTTTCAACTCCTCATTATTTATGAGCCTGGGATTCAGTCCTGCAGTTCTTCCTTCAGGCAAAACCTGCGGCAATATCCCTCCATAGTTAGTTTCGTCTTTCCAGTGGGTCCAATTCACCAAGTGGTGGTACAAGCTGCCCTTCAGCAGTGCAAGGAAAAACTGTAGCCCCCAAAGGACAGCAGGTGGGGTTCCAGCTCCTAAAATACAAGGTATGGACATTTTGCAAGGAACATCTTTGTCACACCCACGAGGCTCTTCAGATTCCGTCTTTGAGATGAGTCACAGAAAAAACCCACACAAGTGTTGTGAAGAAGAAATTACAAAGCTTAGTTGGAACTAAAAGCTTTGTGTGTGTGTGTATGTGTGTGTGCGTGTGTGTGTGTGTTAGTTTAGAATGCAACATTATGCATCAGTACATGAAACCATCCTCCTGGAAACTTGGAAACTGAAAATACTCTCAGTCCGCCTTCTTTACTAGGAACAAGGAGGAAGAGTGTCCATCCAGCACAGCTGTCTGTACCATGTGCATCTTCGGAAGTCATAGTGTTCTAGCACAAACGTTGTGAGTGCAGATACTGTATACTAGCAGAGAGCTAAAACTTCTGAAGCTGTTGTCTGTAGCTCCTAGGAACAGCAAGTATGTCAGGTGCAAAACCTATATTTGAGGCAGAAGACTCTTCAATTTGATCGAGACCAGATCTTCCAAAGGGAAGAATCGCTGTCAGGCCAAAATGATCCTTTCCGCTTAAAGCAATCTGCCCTTCCTAAAGGCTCTTTACTAATAGAATCCTACACGTTATGTCAGATCCTCCATGGATTCTGGTAGCTGTTAAAAACCACTATAAATACTTCCATATTTGCCATATCATTTAACCTTGTAATGTGCCTTCTTTGATCTGTTGAATAAAAAGATTCCTTTCATCTTCAGGTGTCCTTCCATTTTGTGCCCGAACTATACAAGTGGGCCTGTGAAGATTTAACATGTATATCAAATGCTGCTTCTCGTTCTTTAACTCTTCGATCTGGGCTTTTAATTCTGCATTGATAGTTTCCAGCTTTTCTGATTCCTGGTCACAAAGGACAGACACAACTATTAGACCAAGTAGTTCAAATAGTTAATCGCAATGTTTATCTCGTAGCTGATCTCATAGTTGCAGTCTTTTATTGGTGGGAAAGCATATGGCTAACAGAGAAAGAAACTGCACATTCTTAGCATCCTATAATTATTATACGTTTCCTAGTCAATAGCAGTCTAAGAAACAGATTGACAGCTACCTCTTTTGGCCTTTAGGAAAGTTGAAAAGCTAAATTCAGATCTGTAGTTGCTCACAATGGCAGATATCCAGAGCGTTATTGTTCTGTGATTTTGGGGGTCAAAGAGTGTCCCCAAGCTATCTACACTTATTAACTCTCTAGAACATCATGTCACCTGTCTGTAAAATCATGTTAAGCTAACAAAGTTAAGGATGCAACCTTTTTTTCCCTTACCCCTAGATATAGGAATAAGGCCTGCTGCTGCTGCTGTAATAGAGTTGCATGTCATGGCTGAGCAGGTCAAGACACAACTGGGGTCTTAGGATGGAGAATTAAGGGGTAAGCTATTATGCCACTCATTTCATAAAGAAGTTGGAAATTACTTGTTGGTATTTGTATGCTCTGGGTCTCCACAAAGAATCTTCTCTGAAATGATATTTTACTACTTCCTGTGGTCAGTGTACACTTTCAAGCTAATATTGTCCCCATAGACAAGGCTGGTCACTAAAACAACAATCTCTTTACCCCTACCATGCCTTCACTTTATCCCAGTTTTAACCAGGTTTGGTTTTAATATATAGCATGTTCATTATTCTTAACGAATACCTTGAAGGTTTTACGGGGTTTTGGGTGACATCCTTCTCCTATTTCCTACTATGACGGTACCCCATGCTATGTGTTTGGATCCTGGCAGGACTGCAGACTAAGAACAACTCAAGCCAGTCACTTACTTTCTGCAAACATTCTGTTTTCTCCTTCTTTTTGTTTCGGCACTTTGCAGCAGCAATTTTGTTCCTTTCCCTTCTTCTCTTTTTTCTTTCATCCTCTTCAGGAGAAAACTATCCCATAAAAACAGATACACACGATCCATGAAGTGTCAGAAGTACATGACTTGTGTTTTGATAACTTCCACGCTTTTAAAAGCAATGTGGATAGTGTTAGTGCTCACATCATGAGTTATACAAGAATGTGCTTCTGACCTCGTTTGCGGCACAGTAAAGCAGCAGTGACTCTGTTAGAATTGTCAATGAAAACCTGAGTGGGGTCTGGATGGCTGTGATCCATGTGACGGCTCCTTTTAAATTGGTGGGGCTCAGGAACCTTGCTGAGCATCTCCCCAGGCTGACTCCCACACCTCCACCTCTCCTCCATGCCCTGAGGAGCAAAAGGAGTGAGGGGCACGGGGAGCAGAGTGGAGCATGTGTCATGAATGAGGCAGCAAACTAAGGGCAGCAGTAAAAAGGGGAATTACATGCCTTCAAGGTTCAGTTTATTTCTTGTGGAGGCTGAGACAAAGGTGTAGATATTTTCCTAACTTAACCTATTTCTCCACGTTACAGGAGAAGTGTTTTTCACAGAGACTATTATCTTAGAGTAAAAATTTATCACGGGCACAGCATGGCTGTGCCTATTTTAGTCTAGCCCACAAGGGTCCTACTGGACTGTCCTCAGTGAACCCAAACTTCAGCAGTGATTTATTCCAAGTTCAGCCACAAGTAAGTAGGGAAACTGGGTTAGTACTTGCTCATATCACTGTAAAACATTGCCCTTAGTCCGTAATCAGAAACAAAATACCCAACTATAGGCCTCAATGGAAATGAGAAATACCAGAGGGCTTCCCAGAACCACATGACAGAAAGCCAAGCAGCCAGCTTAAAAGAATGAAGTACGATGGAGAGGGTTGTCTGTAGTTAAGTTACTGGTCTTGTAGTGAAACGTTATTAGAGAGTTAATCATTCCCACTGAAATGCTATTTAAAGAGCGATACCTCTGTTTTCATGATTGATGTTTCAACTGGCCTTTCAGAAACTGTCACTGTGTCCAACGTAGAAGACATCCTGTGCGACTGACGCTTATTCTGAATGGTGAACCTCAGCTCCTCTTTCACCAGTGGGGTTAGATTTGTGAAATCATCAAACCCCAGTGACCCTGCGGGGGACAAAGTGGGAACAATTGCGGAGGCGCTGACTTCTAATGCAGACACCTGGCCTGAGTGTTGGACCATCATTTTGCTGAAAGGTAAAAAGAGAGATAATAATCTTTCAACCACTTTAGGAAGGCAAAAATAATTCATACCATGAATAATACCCCATTGCTTGAACTGCTCCAGTCCCAATTCCCTGTCTACCCTATTCTCTCGCTACAGACAAGCAGTTACGAATTCGGTCACTAGTAAAAACTTCTATTTTGTGTTAACTTAGTGTTTGAAAATTATAATAGCATTAGCACATCACATAATTTCTAGGTCTTTCTGAAACTTAATATTGAAAAAATATAGTGTGTATGTATATGTATGTAAGTAGTATGTGTGTATATATTCTGTGAGGTTTTAAACGGGTAATATGGCAAATGAGAATCAAGTGAATAGGAAGAGAATAAGGAAAATAATCAGAAAGCAAGGAAACACTTATAATATTATCATTATTATTAGCACAGAAAGAGCTTGAGAATATCTCCTTCCTCAGAACTATACCCCCACATGTTCCGGCTTCAGATGAACAGAGCACACCTTGATCTCGGTCACATTTGGGCAAATATCAACAAATTCTACTGGAAGCTGAAGTCTACTAACAAAGACAGGATCTATCACAAAATCATTGTGCTTAGTTTTACCCAGAGCTGTAGATCTGGTTATAAACTCCTGAAAAATGGTTACTAATAAGAGCTGGCACAAAGGTAAAGTCTATACATGCTCAGGGGCTTCAAAGGCTGAGCTGGAGGGGTTGAGTCACGAAGAACGTGAAGCCGTTTCTTTCATTCCTTTGCTCTTGTCAAACCTGAAACCGCCCTCATGTACCCTCAGCAAGAGGTCTGAAATGCTTAAATATGTATGGCCAGATCTTCTGCTCGTATGAAAGAGCGTGACTGGAGCGACTTCAGGGAAATTATGCAAATGGACACCTGCGGAGGAACCCAGTTTCTAGTATTTTTCCTAAGAAAGTGAACCTACTCAACAGTGCTCTCTACTTCCCTCTTTTTAGCCATTCTTATGAAGTTCTGAGCCAGTTTTGGAGGGAGAGAGGCCCCTATGTGCTTGGTGAAAAGAGGTGACCCCACTGAGAAAGAAAGAGGAAAAACTCAGTAGTCAGTCATCCAAACGCCACGGGCAAGCTAGCAAGGCAGCTCTGCATGGCACAGACCATCTCTCACCCAGCAAAAGGAGAGATCTGAGGTCTGGAAGGAAGCTGAGCCCTTTTTGTTGGTGGCCCAAGGGACAAAAGGTGCAAATCCATATGGAAAAATATGGCATTACTGCCCTTATTTATAAAGTGCCTTGTGTTAGATTGGATTTTACCACATCAGTTTTCCAGCTTTCTTCGGTGTTTAGGTTTGGGTTTGTTTGGGTTTTTTTTAATAGTTGTATGGGTAATTACAGTATGTGTTATCTACTCTTGATTAGAACTCCAATAATTATAGCTAAGTCAATTGTAATTAACTTTGTGCAGGTAAGCAAAGAGTTGCCCTGGGGTAGCAGCGTGGGTAAGTTAAACTTCCACGTGGTCAACGCTGATTTGCACAGTTCCATGTACGCTCTGTAACCCAGCAAGGGATGTTTGGGGTCACGTGCCTTGACAAGAAGATAGATTTTGCTCAGAGATATCTAAAAATACACTGTAGATCCACACTGGTGCAATTGAGAATAGAATCTGGTTCATCGCTAAGGGGGGTAAATGTGAAAATCCAAGGACAGTTGGAATTGCCAGCTGGTAGCCACTGGGTCTTCCTCACCCAGTCACCATGAACTGAACCTTTCCCAGAGTCTGGGGGTAAAATCCTGAGCACACTGAAATCAAGAGGACTTTTTCTGTTGACCTCAATGGGGCCGGGGTTTCACCCGTGGTTATTAAAGATGAGGAAATTATTTGGAACAATTTCTTATTCAGAAAGACCTTGGGAAATTTATGTAGTTCTCTCGAGAAAACCCCTGCTCGTGAGTCACATTTAAAGTACTGATACGGTTTAATCCTATAATCTCAGAAAGCTAACAGTTACTCTTTTCCAACAAGTCAGAAATGGCCCTATAATTTCCAGCTGAAGTCCTCCCAGCATTATCTACCGTTTAGCAGCATTCAACTGTTCAACTCGTTTAAAAAGGGTAATTCCAGATGGCACCAAACCCCTCACTGCTAGCAGAAACTTCAGCTACGTTCACTAAATAGTCTCTGGCTGCCGGTGATGGCTTCATCCAATTGTGTATAACTCAATCAACCCAGGAGTCTTTAATTAATGGTTAAACTGTTTGTCCAGCCTACAAAAGAATTCATTGGGCTAATAATTTTCAAGCTCTGGTGGTTTATTCAATTACCTTTCAGTTTAGGTGAACTTTTAGTTAAGGTCAGCCCATAGCACCAGAGGAAACCAGGAAGGTTGGTGCCTGAACGTTTCTTCACTGTGGATTTCTGCTAGTTAGTATTAGTGTACCATGAGCACCACCAAAACCCTGCTCTAATGTCTTCCCATCTGCCTTTCACTAGTATAGGAAAGAAAAAGGAGTAGTATGTGCCCGTGGCGAGAGGAAGGTGTCCTTGACCATAGAAACGTGCTGCTCTCCCGCCTGGACAGCTCACTGACCTTCCAGACACCCTGAAAGGCATCTCCTATTTACTCAGACTTTAGGGAAGGCCTACAAGGGGGCTGAGGCTTGCGTAAAGGTTCCTGCTGTGAGCAGAGGACCATTTAGCAGAGCTCTTTGCCACTGGTTTGTGTTCCTGGGGCTCTTCCTTGGGCCAGGGCTTCTGAAGAGCCCCTCATAGGGTCAGCTTCCAATCTACCACTGGGATCATTAGGAGTCAGTGTGACACAAATAATCAGCCCTGTGTCAAAGCTACTCAGTAAGCTGAATAGATTCCCTATTCATAACAATAAAGTAGATGTTTGCCAATTTTTTGAGGAACAAATCTGCTGTTAGAAGTGTTTTACAAGAAGAAAAATTAGATTTTGCCATTTTAAGAACTGCAGCAAGTTGCCCTTCCTTTTCCCCAATTTTTGTACAAATAGTAGCTCTGTCTGTAGGCCATCAAGGACACTGTCTCATCTGCCCTGGGTTTGTAAAGGCTGGGGAAACAGCAGGAATAAGAATAGCAAGCCTTAAAGTGCAATTACATCTGGGCCTGCCCGGCATGACCTCCGTTTATTTGGTCAGACCATGCACATGGAGCTGGGCTCAAGGCTGTTTCAGGCACTTCTGAAGTTACCGCCACTGGAAGTGCTGAACACTTCACAGTGCTGCACCATAAAGGCACAGCTTGTCCACAGGGCGACTTAATGCTTCCTTACTTTATCCTCAGTTTGGGAATTCTCCAGAAATAACAGCTTTGTTATTCATGGTGCCCTCCCAATTCAGGTAGATTCAAACAACTTGATTCATTTGCTCTCCCCCCACTTACTGTTTGTTCTTTTGCTGATTCTTTCTATCTCCAGAGAACTCTCAGATCTCATCTGCCTGTATGTTAGTGTCAGGATTTTCTTCCTAGCTGTGAGTTTCTGTTATTTAGGGATATTCTTGTTTAATATTTACGTTCTGTCTTTTCTGTTTGCTTAACTGCAAAGCCTGACTTTGCAGTGAAGACTGCGCATTAAGTGCCTAGCCTGACTATGTCTCTGGGTTTTATTTCTTCATATGAATTCCTTCTCCTCTGGTGCTGATGCAACAAACCCCGATAACCATTGAGGTTAGTCTTAACTAGCATTAAGAGCAATTACAGTTCACAACCTCTGCGCACGCTGGTTGACCTTAAGCTTTCTGACATCCCACATCATTCCCGAGCTCCGTAACAGCTTCTCAAATGCTGTTACGAGGGGGTAAATCGATTTCCAGGAGGAACTCGTTCTCTGAAACAAGTCTGCTGTTGTGTCACGGCTGACTTGATTAGGCAACAGTTCAGCAACTGATCTTCTACATGTCAAGGCGCGGGGACAGAAAGGAAAGCGCCAGGCCCCGGCTCACAGCGAGAGCTCTGGCTCGGGTTCGGGGTGTGACAGATCGCGGTACCCGCGGCGGCGCTGGGCTTCCCATCGCCCCGCCAGCCCCGGACCCTGCGGGTGGCGGTGCCTCCTCCGCCCGTGGGGCCGCGCCGCACTCTGGCATCCCCGCGGCTCCCGGCGCCGGTCCCGGTCCCGTTCCTGTTCCTCCGCCGAGGCCGCCACCGCGCGGTGCCGAGCGGCGCTACCGGCCCGGGAGAGCCGGGGCTCGGCGGGCTCCCTCCCGGCAAACACATCTGGCGGCAGCCCGGGCAGCGAAGGGAGTGAGAGCCGGGACGGGACCGGGGGCTCGGACCGGGCTTGGCGGCGGCAGCGAAACTTTTCCTCCCTGCGGCGGGACAGGCGCCCGCGGGGCTCGGCGGCTCCGCTCCCGCTCCCCACCTACCTCCCTCCCTGTGCCACGGCGTTCCCGGCCGGAGAGAAGGGGCTCCGCGCCCGCCCGGCAGCGCTGCCGTCCCGGCGGCCGTCCGCTCCCCGCTGCTGCCTCCTCCGGGAGAGCAGCTCCCGCCGCTCGCCGCTCCTCTGCCTCTCGCCTCGGTTGCATCACCCCCCCTTATATAGCCGAGCGGCCAGCGCTGGTATTTACTCTGGCGGCGAGTCCCAGGCTGATGTCATGCTATTAATAGCCTCCCCGAAAGAGAGGGCGGGGAGAAGCCGAGCCCGGGGCGGTGATGCAAGGCTTCCCCGCCGGCAAGACTCGGCTCGGCACGGCTCGGTCCGCGCTGAACCGAGCCGGGCAGCATCCATCGGCACCCGTTCTCTCTCCCTGCTTCTTTTTCTTTCTTTTCCCTTCCCTCACCCCTTTTTTTTTTTCTCTCTCTTTTTAAAGAGATGAAGGCTCCGAGAGCTTCTTTCTGCGGGCCGTTTTGCTGCCGAAAATAAATCGAAGTCCCTCTTACGGCCAAAAAGGAAAATAAAAGGGGTAAAAAAAAAGAGAGAAAAAAACCAAAGCCAAACCAAAAACCCCTTTCGAAAGGACTGATTATGAGATCGTGTTCTACAGGAACAAATTGTTTAACGGCTCCCTCCTCTGCCCCCCCCCCCCCCCAATCCCAGCGCTGCTTTAAGTGACAAAAGTTCATTTTACATGAAGCAGAAGGCTTCAGTTTTTACTCTGAGGGGAAAAGACCCCTCGCACGAAACGATAGAAAGCTAAAAATAATGCGGTTCGAGGTGGGATTTTTGTTGTTTGATTGTGGGTTTTGTCGACTTCCTTACGATTTCAGGGAAAACCAGAGTCCCTATAGGCGAGAGGGGGATACGGTGGTGGCTGTGGAGAAGGGGTTTTGTTTAGTTCTCTCTTTTTTTTTGTTGTTTCCATAGCTTCCTGATTTGTTAAGCCACAGAAATTGCCTTCTAAAAGCCCCCAGAGTGCTAGGAAGTAAGATACAGAAGAGATGCAGAAGGCTTACAAAAAGAGACGTACGCTCTTAACTAGGATAATATTCCATATATGATACATACAAACTTGTCATTGAGACAGTCCTCAAGCCTCTGCACTAGGCATGGGAAGATGAGAACATTTAATGCTTGAGGCTATTCTAACTAAACCAATATAATGTCTATATACCTTCACCTATAAAATATATACCCTGATCAAGTGTTCCAACCAGTTAATTAATTGCATAACGTTCAACATGGCTGTATTTTGACAACAGGTAATATATCGCAAGTGGTATCTTCTGGCATATATTCATTGCTTGGAGCATTTTAGCAAGGGTATTGATTTCTAATACTAATTTGAAAGTTCCTCTGCATCTCCACTCCATGTGCATGTGCTGTATGTGCACATTTAACCCTCCTGTTTTACATTCAATTGCCTGCTCTGGGAAGAAGACTCATCATCTGTTGGGGAAGGGAGGTAGCCCGGAGCAGTGACGTGGGCTGTGGAAGGTGCAGTCAATCCCTGTTCTCCTCAAACAATGAAGTGCACTTTGCGGAGGGCAGGAGGGAGCTCCTCTGACCTACCTGGCAGCTCTCTGCTGCAAGCTTTTCTTTCTCGCTATCTACAGCTCCTCCAAAACACGTTTAATGCCTTATCCTTATTAATCTGAGTAAATCAGTGTCACGTATAATGCTAGGCAAAAAACGTTGCTCCCCAGAAGGGTCTGGAGCGAGCTTTATGCTTCAGCTCGGTGCAGCCTGTGAAGCTCTCTTTACTTCAGAGGCATGGTTTTGTAACCCGGGCTGTGTTCAGGAACAGCTGGCATCGATTTTCTCGAGCCTAGAAGGAAAAAAACCCACAAAAATCCCTCTCAAGCAAAGGCCAAATGTGGAAAATTTCTTCCCAGAAAATAATTGGTTGGAAAGTTCCGAGCATGAAGTTATTGTGGAAACGTGTTAGCAACATCGGGCTCGGTGGCCATGAACAGGTGCCTGCTGTAATTCTGACAGGGATTCAGCAACTAGGGAGCTGCACCAAAAGTGGGAATTTATTTGGGGTGTTTTTCAGCTAAGCAGAGAGCAGTGTTGCAGGATAATGAAGGAGGGAAAAAGCAGCTCCCTCCGAAGTGGGAAATGCAAGCGCTGTTATCCTGTTGTTAAGTCACTGACATCTGCTCAACAATCACAACACTTCACCAAGTAGGCAGATGATTGTTTTGTTTTGAAATCATGCTATATTGTACTAAACTAAAGCCAAGACATTTACTTGTTATACAACACTGCTTCCCCACTGCTGGTTCCATTATTGCCCGTGAGCTACAGCCGGTACTAAGAACTGACAGCAAACCAGTTGTGTTCGTTCTTGAACGACTCCTGAAGTGAGCCAGCTCCTCCCTGCAAAGCAAACAGAGACCGTTCCCGTGTGCAGTTAAGATTAGGCCACTGAAACATGTCCTGGCTTGAAATTCTTCAGTGAAAAAAGGAAAATGAAACCACAGTGAAAAATAAGCCCGGTTCCACTGCGTCACGGAGGTTTTATCCTGCTCCCGTTGCAAACAGAAGCTAACCTGATTTCAGTGAAAACACAGGAATGCACTCCAGTTTAAAACAAAACAAACAAGCATTAATAATGAAGACTATCAGGAAGTTAAACCCAGTACGGCCACCAGCTGCTCTGATGTTCTTTGCCCATTTCTTTTTCCAGCTCAGAAAACACCTTTCTTTTACTTTCCTCTGAATATTTATCGGTCCTTTTCCATTTCATTTCTTTCTATCATTCAAACTTCCGAGCACAACAGCACTCGCTTCCCAAAGGTGACATTTGTGCTTGTTTTTCCTCCTTTCCCTTAAGGTAGGTACAGCAGCTCATCACTAGAAGACCAACATGTATTGGATCCTTCTCCCCCTGCAGAGGCATTAGGCTGCATCTAACACCCCACAGTGTGGTGCTTCCAGCCCTCCAGGAGTCTCAAATGCAGAGGAAACAATTTTTTCCTTTGCCTTTTCCTGACCAAATCCTTTTCCCCCATCCCTTGCCACTACTACATACACTGGGGGAATTTGATTAGAACCAAAGTATGGTTGTCTCTTTGCTAAACAGAGCTATAGATGTCATTATACAGAGGAACTCGCTCCCATCCTTACAGCAAAAGCTTTCTGCTGTCTCCTGTCTTTAATATTTATGCCACTGTAGGATTTCAGTCAGAGTACCACAGCTAAAATCCCTGTGTCCCATCCAGTTCCTCTGTTGCTTTATGGTCATGCAGTTCCAATAAACCTATTGGTCCAGTGGAAATATAACAAGATTTAAAGAAATGAAATGGGCAGTGGTATCTTGAGTAAAACTCATCTCTCTCTGTGCTTTGCAGTTTTAATTGCATTGAGTTTTGAAATTACTCTAATCCTGACAGGTCCAATTTTTCCTTGCATGGCACATATATGATGAGAAACAGGTTTCCAGAACTCGGAGTTGTCACACTGGAAAATCAGCACAGAATCAGGGTTTTTTAATGTTGCCCCCCCAAAAGTATTCTCTATTTCTGTGATGAAAATTAACTTTCCCTTTGATTTCTCTGTACTGTACATTCAGGTCTGAATCTGTGCGGTAAGAATCTCCTGTTCCCCTAAATATGCACTAGTTTTGAGCCAGTTTTCTTAACAATTTTCCTATCTGGCTGGACTAACCAGAGTTGAAACTTAGGACTCTTTTTCCCAAGGTTTAGGTTGCTACTGCATGAACTACGGGAGTTATCTGCAGTAGAAGCAGCATCAGCCATCCCTACCCAGCCCAGGTCTTTTTAGCTGCTGTTTGGGGACCCCTTGGCATCTGTGAGCTACTTCCAAGAGTTTCTCCAACAAGCGCTTAAAAGAACCCCCAAGCCCATGGCAGTGGAGATCAAATCCACTCAGGAAGGTCTGGATCTCTACAGGGCTAACAGGTCCAAAAACTAAGGGAGTTTAAAACCACAGTTAGAGAAGAGACTTCCATAGAGGCTGTATGGCAAACCCGGGTACCATCTTGTACTTGGTACCACTCAAGTGGATGAGTATTACGTCTTGTGGAGGTAGGTGCACTATTTGAACTTATTTTATTCTCTAATACTGAAGACAAATTCATTTGTTCCTTGTTTTTCCCTCTTCAGCTTACTTTTCTTTCCTTACTTTTGTCTTCTATCACTATTCTCCTAAATCCATTTATTCTCCACTTATTATTTCCTTTTGGACATCCCATTTCCTACCACCTTCTGCTTTGTGATAGTCATCTTTCCCGTTTCCTTCAAACAGCAGTTTCTCCTTTTGCTACTTCCCTGTTTCTCCTCTTCTCATTTCTCTCTTTTCCCTCCTTGTATCCCTGGATTTCAGCATCCCCTTTTCTGTTCCTTTTTTCCAGCAACTTTTCTCCCATTGGTGCTTCCGCTCCTGTTAGGCAGCTTCCTGATGAAGCTTAAATTTTTATCTTCTCTTTTGCTTTCTGTCATTTTACTTCTTGTTTCTGCACCAACGAGATGGAGGCAATGATAACAAAATCACTGGTGGGTGCAACAGGATCTACATTTCAGGACCGGATTCCTGCGCCCAAAATTACCCTGAACTTCAGTGGAACTTCATTGAACTAAATGTTCCACAAGGTTGTCAGACACTGCTGTAGGCAGTGTTCTGGGAGCGCAGGGTAGAGGGACAGGCTACACAAACACCCCTTCTCTCTAGCTCAGAGACAGCCCTGAAGCTCACTCGGTCAAGTATATCTTTAGTTCCCTTTTGCTGAAGCCTTTTAAGTTGTCTTCTATCAGATGGACTTTGTGCACCAGCATAGGAGGTGGCTAAGTACAATAACCTGTAGCTGCAATTTCTGATCTCTTTGGGTACATTCAGGTAGTAACCCACAAGCAAAAGAGATCCCACACATGAAAGAATCCTGTCTTAAACTAGACGGAATAAAGCAAACTCACTGGTTCCACTTAACAGGCAAAATGATACACCAGATGTATTCTTTTGCCCTCATGAAAGCAGAAATCCTATCTCCTTGATGGTGCCTTTACAGTCCCATCCATTTAACGGCAAGAAAAGCTCCATCTTCACAGATCCTCTCCTTCATCTCCCTCTCTCCATCCTTTCCACCTTGTAAAAGCATGCCAGCTTTTATTTGGGAGCAGTTAGAGATTTATAGTGAACTT